AACCTCATCCCACCATCCCAGGCTTGCCTCATATGAGGCAGAACAAGAGAATGAGTGAGTACCATCATAATCAGCAAATTTATGAAGAAGAAAAGAATACGATTAGTCAACTGAAATCAGCTACTGTGATACCTGACACTCTCCAAAGGGGTACGTCCACTGTAGCTGCTGAGTTCAGAGAATGGTAGGAGCTACTGGTAGGTGAAGGTCTGGAGCCTAACAAGGTCCAAGTACAAAAAGTATTTGATATGGCAATTACTCCAGTGCCCATCAGTCAGTTTCCTTCATCCAAAATATGCAGGAAAAAAGCATCAGCTGATTAAGGATAAACATGGAAAGATGATGGTTTTTTTTTTAGAATGCTGACTTCACGTAATATTTATCTACAGGTACAGTAGAAGAACCTCCACACTCAAAAAATACTGTTTTCATCTGCTATTAAGAAAAAGCTAAAGAGCTAACTTGTTTCCTGTTAGATGGTCCAGCAAGCTCAGTAATATTTCACCGAACATATTGTGGGTTTTTTTCAGGCTTTGAGTATGTGCATTCAACAATGACAAGCAGGCATGACACAGACACAAGATCAAGTCTTACCTTCTTCCTTGGAATGATCTGTTTACAGTTTAACCTGTGGTGTTAACCCACAACTCTTTAAGCTTCTGATTACTCATGCCTCTGAATTACTGTTACTTTCATATATGTAAGTAATTTTGACTTTTTTACAGAATATTTAAATATGGAAACATATTAAACCAAAATGGTACATGGATATGTATTTCACATGCCTGGAATTATGTATCCTGCTCACTACGTTTTACATTTTATCTACAGTAACCCACTCTGAAAGGAATGTCTTCTATAATTATTCACTAAGGTAACATTGGTTTTGATTATTAACTAAAGCCCGCAAATACAGCAAAACATAACTGTGATGTGAATTAGGGTATATACATACTACAGAATACAAATTTAAAAGATTGATTTATTTTATTTTTGCAGAGTAGTAAAAAAACAGAATTGAATCTGGTGAACACCAGAATTATTGTGTACAGAATAAACTTCCACCACTACTACCACAGATACAGCTCCACTGAAAACCACAGTGACAGAAGTACTAGAACAGACCAAGCATCAGCAAATCCCAACATCCTATCTAAAACACTAAAACTTGCTTCAGAAAAAAGATTAGGCTTTGGTTGTTTTGGTTTTTTGTTTTTCGGTTAGTTTTTTTTTAAAAAAAACACTCCAGCTCCTGATTTACAATATATTGT